GCCAGTGGTAGTGCTTCATGATGAAATGAGCCTACTACGGCAGGACAGAGCATTAGACAGCTAATAAAAAGCACGTATCCTTGAGGGATTGCCCATGCATTCACCCAAATGGGTGCTGACATCCACATAAAGGCTGATATCAAGTGTGGGATAATAGGCCTAAATGGAATGAATTCTGTGCAAACCTATTGACTAAGGACTTTGATGCGCTTCTGGGCATATAGCACTGCTTCCATGAGGATGGTAAGCCACCATGTGCGAAATAAGGGCCCAGATAAGCGCCTACATCTTCAGGAAGCAGCTAATGAAAGTCGACGCAAGCGACGGGGGGGGGGGCATTTTGCACATTCGCTACTTCCCATCGACGTGTAGAGCCATCTAGAGGGTTATTTCATGACCTTACAAGAGTTGACAGGTTCTACCATGGTGGCTCGATGAGCCTTGCTCCAGCTTTACGGGCAGTCAAATAGGTTTCACCAAAGTGAGATATGCAAAGGAAATAGTGGAGCAGCGAAAGTGCAAAACGCCCTCCCCTCCCGTCGCTGAACTGCCTCTAAAAATCTTCCTAGCACTGTATCGTAGTGTCGTATGCATGGCGCACCTTAAAACAGGATCGCCAGCGCTAGCTCTACAACTTTAATCCCTGTTTGACAGCGGAACGACGAAACCGGATTGGGAATGGGAAACAGCTTCATGATTGCGAAGACATAAAGTCCCCCACATAGCAGCGTTCAAAGTAGTTCTTATGAGACCTTATGAGTCTATTTAGAAGCTGATTTTACACGGGGAATATTGTCTTTATTCGATTTTTTATTTTCAAGTATTCAATAGAGGCGGAGATGGTGTAGTGACAAGTGGGGCGCTCACCATTCGCGCGGTCCCGGGTTCGAATCCCGGGTCGACTCCCGCCCAGGCCAACCAAGCCTTCTACCCTCCGGGGACGGTGAATTGGTACCAGATTCGTCTGGGAGGATAAAACACTGACTTGTACATCGGCTGGCCACCGCAAGTCATTGTATAGGCCACATCGCATTCAATAACCCACTACGATTCTGAATGGAAGTAGAATGCGTGCCGCATCCCACAAAGGGATTGATCAACGGCGAAGACTTTATCCTTTTAATTTATTTGCCCAATATTGTTGTTGCCATAAATTATAAAAACAAACAATATTCAGATAGCGCAAGAGAGAGCAAACAATATACGTTCTCGTTCTTTAGAGTGACACAAGGAAGTCCGCTACAAGTAAATAGAAGGCAAAAATGAAGACCTGTTCAGAATGTAATGTAATCGAGATAAATGTAATGTAAGTTGAATTTTTCAAAAAGGACAATTGGAATCATATTGCCCACCTCATATGCCCAGCTCGAAAGGAAAATGACGATAAATTCGAGGCCTGCTGACCGGCAAGCCATCAGTCTTGCCCAGGGCCAAGTTCCTACCCGTGGTAATGAATACTGGCGAATTCCTCAATACTACCCCTCTGGTTACGCACCCCTGTCCTCCCTTCCCCACATCCCATCCCGCTGCCATCGTGCCAAAGTTTTTCCATCTTCTTACCACTTTCCCGAGCTCTTTTTTTGTCAAATTTTATAAACCCACTTTTTTTTTCTCAAAGGGAAAAGTCCTATCGCGGCGCATTGACGAATTTGTAAATACAGTTGAAACAGGGGAAACGCGTGAAAATGGATAAACTGTAATACCTTTCTCTCAAGGGAAATACGGCCCCCAGCAGCAACCAAATACACCCCCCCCCGCATTGGGATACCTAACGCACGACAAGCTCTGCTATTGCCTTTTTGTCTCTAGAAAACGCCTCTGTCCCTTGAAAAAGTCTCTCTGGCATAGTGGGAAGAGCTTATTATACTTTTTGTTTTTTATTTAATTATTCTTTCCAGCGATAATATTCCCATCTCTTGCTATATTGGACCTCATGATTTCTTTTTCTTTTCTTGTATCGACGCTCTTTTCTGGCCGACTGCTTGTGTAGCGCTTCCTGAAAACGCACTGTAAATAAACAAATAAATAAATAATTAAATAAGTAAAGAAATAAATAAAGCGGTTCGAAGAGTCGCCTGAAGTCGAAGCTGGTCAACCATACCTGGGAAAGGGTTTCAATGGCAGTCGATCAGACGACTGGGATCGAAGGGTTCGGGATCATGAGAAATTTGATGGGGGCTGGCTTGGGCATGGAAACTGGCCGCGGATGTTCCAGGGCAGTCCAGGGTTGTTTTTTTGGTGTCCTTGACCTCCAGTGCGGGGGGAAAGCGTAGAAACGTGAAAACCCTGGGCCCGGCTGCGAAACGATTGAAACAATTTTTCAGTGCTTAAAAGCCAGACAGGGTCACTCTACAGCAAACCCCACACACAAAAATTTAGCTGTTGGCTAACTTCAATTCGAAGCTGCCACATGGGTCAGCCTTGTGGGGCCTCACCATGGGGATCAACGCCTTGTTGATCGCGAGATTCCCCCAGCCAAGTAAGTTTCCGTTCGCGTGCGTATGCCTAGTGCATGCAATGCTGTGACGTAGAACGTGCGAGTTGGAAATATCGCTTTGAGAGACGCAGGCGAAAATACACTAAGGTGTTGAAGGTATTCAACGAACCTACACCGGTAGAGACCGGTACTCTCAAGATGACTTTACAACTCAAAACGAAATCGATTTTTGATCTTTCATATCGTTTACTCTATCCAGGAAGTCATATCAAATAGTTTCCCGTATGATCATAACCAGTATTAAAAATTGCCAGGAATCATCAAAAACCTTCAGAAAGCCTGACAAATGAAGTGTTGCCAAAGAGATTAATCACATAAGAAAAGCTTTAATGACAGCTGGAAGGCATTGAAAAGTGCATAAGCCGATGCTTATTAAGACGGAGGCGAAATCTCATCCGGCTCTTGAGATACGCCATGCATTTCACTTCCATTCATGATCGTTGGAAGATTAGCGTGCATTGGTCTTTAGGAAGATCCTCAGAGGTGAATCGGCGTGGAAGTCGATTTTCTCATCCTTTCAAACTAGTCGGACTCATTTAGCCAAGCCGGGGATCGATTGGGATTGGTTTGTTCAAAAGGGATGCGACTCGGGACTTAATTACTGAGCAATTACTGAGCGTTTTATCGACACCACTTTCCCCCAACCAACTTTTGGCCCTCAGCTACTCCAAGTCTTGTTGTCACTACGATCATATTTAGATCAGCTATCTCCAACAGTTTGGCTACCTGACGACGACAGGTGGTGCCGAGTCGCAGCTGACCGCGGAAGCGATCACGATAGCGTTGAAGCGATTTCAGCGAATGTTCGGCTTACCGCAGACTGGAATGCTGGACGAACGTACGGCAGCGTTGATGGCCAAGCCGCGATGTGGTGTGAAAGATGAACCGATAATACGGTAACGCTACGGTAACCTTTGATTCAAATGTGAATTCACTTTAAATTCATATCTTTCAGAAAGCGACGACGACGAACGCTACCGTATCCAAGATGGAAATCGAACAAGTTCACTTTCTTGTGAGTTTTTTCGCTGTTCTTGTGGATAATGAAATACAGGGAGTGCGTCAAGTAGACGTGCTTCGTGCACTCATAGAATCGCAGTGCACTCGCGAGGTATTTGCATTTAGATTTATCCCTTAAATTCGCTCTCCGTAAAATCTCGGCTTTGCTGTAAACTCTGACAGTTTTCGTTCCAATGTGCCAACGACTATGTTAAGTGGATCTTTTTCTTGCTCTTGGACTCTCAAACTTCTGAACCTTGAGCCACATCTAGGCCTCTGAGGTCGACGATCTAGTCGAGCCGCCAGGCCAATAGCAGAGAGTCTACCAGAGAACTTGAATTGATGCTCCGCCTT